GGAAAAACTAAAGCGCAAAGCACTGCCACACACCCTGTGAAGAACCCCTGTTGTGGTCACCAAGCCAGCGTCTGCGCCTCCTTGCTAGCTGGGGTCACGGTCCCACCGATGCCCAGGCTCCTCTGGGCCGAGCCATCCACACTGTCTCATCACCAGGTTCCTGAGGTCGGGCCTGCCCGACTGGTCCTCGGGAGCTCTCTGCTCCCAGCACCTCGTCTTCCCGCTCGCCTAGCAAGCCAGGCTCCCTTCTGTGCCTTGTCCTGCCCTGTGAGCACTGGCCCTGCCAGTCCTGTGACAGCCAGCGATGTTCCTGCCTCCCTCAGGAGCCTGTTTTCTGGGTTCCCATCTCTCCCCTGGAATTCAATTCACGTTCCTTTGTCCAGAGTTGTGTTCCAGAGAAGGCCTTGGTCCGGAATGGAGGTGTCTAAGCTCACCAGGAGCAGCCTTAGGCATGCAGCAGCCACCCCCAGTGTCACAGCCCTGACAGCCAGGAGGGGTCTGGTGGACTCAGGACAACAGGCGGAGCAGCTGCCGGCTGGGAGGGCAAGAGCCAGGGGCCTGGCTGGTGGCGGTGGTGTTCCATGTTGGGAGGCCTTCAACAAGCATGGGAGTTCCCAGCAGAGCCTCTTTGGTGCCACCTGCTGCCCATCCCCTTCCCCTCTGCACTGGGTGTGGCTGTGCCCTGGCCATTGCCACGAAATCCCCCCAGTGCAGCAGCATCTACCTTGCCACCTCCACGCCTGTCTGCTTGGCAGCAAGGCACCCACAGCAGAAGGGCAGACTGGCACAGGCCCAGCCGGCCCCTGGCAAACCCCCACCGAGGGGAGGTGCTCACTCCTGGTCCTCCTGGGTGGGGCGGGGCCAGCCCTGTGACTGGAGGCTGCAGGTGGGCGTGGCTCCCCAGGTCAGGATGTGGGCCTAGCCCAGCCTGAAGCTGCTGTCCTTCCCCTGAGGTGCTGGGTGAGCTAGCTTCTGGGGCGTCCTGTTGGCCTGGGGTGCAGATCATGGTTTCTTCTGAAGTAGCTCTGGTAAGGAGCCCTCTGGGCATCGTCCTGCCACCCCTGTGTTTCCCCAGGAAGGCCCTGCTGGTGGTCCCACCGCTGTGGGTCTGCTCTGGATGCCAGCACAGTCCTGCCAGGAGGCTCCAGCATTAGCCAGTGATGTCTGGAGGTGCTGCTGCTGAGAACTGGCCTCCCATCTCCATGTACGGGGTGTTCCCTGTGGTACCAGGTCCCCACTCGGAGAGGACGCAGGCCTACTGGGAGACCCTATGCTGGTGTCCAGGAGGGCTCAGTTTGGACAGCTAGGAAGGTTGGACTGCACCAGTGTTCTCAGTCCTGCAGGCGGGGGCATTGAGGAGCGCTGAGCAGGGTGGGGTTGGCCCACGTCCTTACCATTTGCTGAGGTATGGCCGTTCATCTGCACCCGCTGCTGGCTGCCTCCTCGTGTCCAGCACTGTGGCAGGGGCTGGCTGCCTTGTGTGGTCTGGGGAGAAGTTGCAGAGCCGTGCACACGGGGTCAGCAAGCCTTCTTCAGCTCTCCCCTACCACCAAGAGGGCTGTGGGCACCGTGGAGCAGCACACACCTGGGAGCATGCGCAGGGGCCTGAGCTGGTGGAGTGGGCAACAGTGCAGCTGTGGGAAGGCGGGGTGCTGCTTCTAGAAACCTCCGAGAGTCTCCACCCGGCCCTGGAGCTCCGCAGGGTGACAACCCAGACAGCCCAGGCATCCGTGATGGACAAAGGGACACAGCATGCCCGTCCACGTGCAGAAGTATGGTGACAGCTGCAGTGTGGAGGGACCTCAGTGAGAGCCAGATACACGAGGCTGCAGTGTGTGACCCAATGACAGGAGGGTCCAGGACGGAGTTTGCAGAGACAGGATGTAGAAATGATGGTTCATGTGAATTCCGTGGCACAGTTTACAGATTATAATAAAGTGACGAACCTGGGCATTCTGCATAGCCACYGACTCTCAGCGTGTGCTGCTCTTGCTGTGTCCTACGTCCCCAGCCAGCCAACGGCTGTTTCCAGCCCACACCTGTGTGCCATGCTGACCCACTGCCTGACCCAGCAGGGCCTGAGCTGAAGCCACCCTCGCAGCTGGAGGCCKGACTTCCTGCTGTGTGATATCGGCCAGGGCCAGGGCCTGCTTCTCCGTCTGGCCTCGGTACTGGTCAGCCGAGGTGGTGTGGTGTGATCTGAGGTGTGAGTGTCATCCCAAGCACAGTCCCAGGACACTGCTCTGTGTTCTCCTGCGTCTCTCCACTCAGATGCCACAGAAGGAAGCTGTCCTGGAGGGGCGAGCAGAGCAGAGCAGGGCAGCCGAGTGCCCRCAGTCCTGGAGCCTGGTGGGGCCGCCTGCTGAAGCTCCATGCCCCCTTCCCAGCGGGGAGCCCACCTGGGGTCCTGGGTGGTTCTCAGGCRTCTCTCCAGCCCCTCTGGCTGCCCAAGGGCAGTGTGTGTGGCTGACGTGTGGCTTCAGTGGCACTGAATGCAGGGGCTTGGATCTGCCCTTCAGCTGGACAAGGAGTGGCCAGTTCCCTGGTGGGGAAAGGAAGCCATAGACGTGCGGGCCTGAGTGGTGGCAGCCTGGCTGAGCAGGAGTGTGCACGGCCCTGTGGGCCCACACAGTGGTGGTGCAGTCAGGACCATCTGGGAGGTGGCACTCCTGTTCAGGGTTGTGCTTCAAACCCTGAGGGCCGCAGTAAGGGCTGCTGCCCTCAAGCCCAGGTATCCTGGGGGTGCGGCCTGCTCCCTGACGTCCCCTGGGCTGGACTGCCAACTAAGCTGGGTGACACTTCTTGGGTACAGCCCTGACCTGTGGGATTTGCCTTTGGAGGCCCTTGGCCCTAGGGAGGTGGCCCTTCCCCTCTTGACCCGCCTGCTTCTGCTCTCAGGGGCCCAGTAACAGGTTCTTCAGGTGCTGCTGCTGTGCCCAGTGGTGACAGCCAGGTGATGGCAGCTGCATCCAGAGAGCTGGTGCTTGCATGGTCCCCCACTTTGGTTCCCTGTTTGCCACCTGGAGTGTCAATAGCAGTCCCCCAAGAATGGGCCACCATAGCGAGAGGTCCTGGTGGGCTGCGCTGCCTGAAGTCAGTAGCCAACACAGACAGGCAGGACTGGACGGGGACTGGTGGGGTGTGTGGCCTGGAGAGCACTTGCTTGCCTGGGGCTCCATTCAGGTGTGGGCCAAGGAGCAGCCTGGGCGCACTAGCTCTCTGGTTCCTGTGCCTGGAGCGCTTTTCCTAGGACCCAGACCAGGTTTTCAGGGGCCCTGACTGCAGCCCTTTCTTGCCCTGCTGGGCAGGAACTGGGAGTGACACCAGCCTCCTTCCAACACTGGCACTGGCACTTGTCCCCAGGACTGTTCTGACACTAGGGTGGGGCCGCCTTGAGGCGCCATTTTGGTTAGGCAGGTCTGGACCTCTGAGGAGGCCTCACGGCTGCACCTACCCTGAGACTGCCCTGTGTCGTCATGTCCCTGTGACCATATCATCTCTGGGGTCCCCATCTGTGACCCAGAAGTGGCTCCTGAACCTTGGGTCCACCTGCAGCTGGCAGGTCCTTTTTTTTTTTAATATTTATTTTTTAGTTCTCGGCGGATACAACATCTTTGTTGGTATGTGGTGCTGAGGATCGAACCCGGGCCGCACGCATGCCAGGCGAGCGCGCTACCGCTTGAGCCACACCCCAGCCCTGGCAGGCCCTTTAATGTGGACAGCTCCGGGGGCTGTGAGGCCCCAAGATGGGGCAGCAGGGTTATCAGCCTTGTCACCCCTACCTTCGAGGCCCCTTTATCACCTGCTGACCCCCAGGAGTGTCCTTGGGTCCTGGGTGGGCCCCCCTCATGTGCAGGCCGGCTGTGTCAGGGCCGAGTGAGTGCGCCCGTGCAGGTATGGCCTGCAGGTGCTCTCGTGCCCCCCGGTCCTCCTCTAGCCCCCTCAGCCCTGCATCTGGGCCTGACCCTGTACAGTTGTTTTAAGGGCTGGTTTCTCAGATGCCCAGCTCCCTAACTGCCAAGTGGGCCAGAGACAGGACAACCAGGCAGGAGCGAGCCCGGGCACACAGGCCAGAGCAGGCAGGCACCAGCCTGCTTCAGGGGTGTGGCCTCTAGCAGTGGTGAGTGGTGGTGTGAGTGCTGGGGATCCGACTCAGGCCTCCCTGTGCTGCGGGCGCACATGTTTTGGAGGTCAGAGGCCCCCTGTTGGGAGCAGCTGGACGCTGGATAGGAGGGCAAGACCTGGAACCTGGCTAGGAAGGCCTGTATGCTGGGCCTGAGTGAAAGGGGAGGTCAAAGGGCAGTTCTGGAGGACCAGGTGTCCGAGAGGCGCACCCTCCCCACCCTGGCCAGCCAAGCCCCCGCTGCCTCCTCACTGGAGTAGTGCAGCTGCCAGGGCTACCTGGGCCGCGGGAAGCCATTGCCCTTCCCAGGCCTGCCCCTCCTCCCCAGTGTTGCCAGCCATCCAGGGATGCCAGCTGAGGTCAGGCAGTGAGTCCACGCCTCTGCCCGGGACGCTGTCTGCTGTCCTCTGTCGTGTGTCCTCTTCCTCTCCCTGGCCAAGAGATGAGCTGGAGGGTTGGCCCTCTGCTCTGGTTTGGAGACCTCTTCCTGGCTCAGCCTTCCAGGGCCTCGGCCACCTGCCGATTGCCAGCAGCCTCCTGGCCACGAGGCTTTCCATCATGGGCCCAGCCACTCCAGCGTCCCCTGACAACTCCCAGGCTTCCTCTTGGCCATCCCACCAACCTTTGCTGTGCCTCTGACCCCATCATCAGTGTCTCTCGTGTGGGGGGGTGCATACAAGGGCTTCCCAGGGTCTGGGGCAGGGATGTCACTTGTCCCGCTCAGACCTTCAGAGATCCTTCCAGAACACCGGCTACTTGGGGCCCCTCTGGGTGCTGTCCTCAGTCACCCTGCTCACTGCCTCCACCCCCTGGGGGACCCACAGTGCTCTGCCCTGGTCCTCCTGGCTTCCTGACCTGTGCTTCTCTCTCTCTGCAGCTGGGCGCCACGAGATCTGAGGCCGAGGGACCTTGCCAACAGCATGCCTCTCCCCCGACGTGACCCTGAGGCCCCGAGATGAGCACCACTGCAGGGCCCTCCAGAGCGCCCTTGTCCCACTAGCTCCCCTGCCGGGAGCCACAGGCCGCCCAGCCCACGCCGCTGGGCCCATGGCGTGTTAACACGGAGCGGCGACCTCTGGTTCACAGACGGGCTTTGCACGCAGCAGAGTCACCGTGGAGAAGCCAGGGTACCACAAACTGATGGATCTTGACAAGAAAGGAGGGAAAGGGGAGCTGGAGGAGGGCCGGAGAATGTCCAAGACCGGCGCGGGCCGGAGCAGCCATGGCGTCCGGAGCTCGGGGACCAGTTCAGGGGTCCTGATGGTGGGCCCCAACTTCCGCGTTGGCAAGAAGATAGGCTGTGGCAACTTCGGGGAGCTTCGCCTAGGTGAGCCGCCCGCCGGCAGCAGCTGGGGAGGTCGGTGCGGCAAGGCCGCCGCCGTGGTGGCCAACACCCCTTGAGCTGCTGTGGATCATAAATGGGGGTCAGCCTCTCACCTTGGAGTGGGCTTGGGGAGCAGGGAGCCTGGGCCCCACTCTCCCTCCTGGGGGCGGTGTTGTCACAGGGAGGGGCTCACAACAGTGGGGAAAGAGGCCAAGCCAGGCTCTTCAAAGTGGTTACTCCCACCCCAGCCCAGGTTGTGAGCTGGACTAAGGCCTCTCCACTTTGTAGGCCCAGCTTTGCTCGGTTGTCAGCTCAGGAGAGCTCTGGCCACACTCCGCATCAGGGCCCGTGCTGTTCCACGTTCAGACCACACCTGGCATAGCCAGGTCCCAGGGGCATGCACTGGGAGCCCAGGGTTGGGCCCCTCCCTGGCCGGGGGTGCCTTCCCTTCGGGGCCCTGGTGGTCAGCACCACACCCTTGGGAGCTCCATTCTCAGCAGGTGGCCCAGGAAGGCCCTGGCCCTAGAAATAGAATCCAGTCTTGGTGCTTCTGGAGCTTCCAGGTAGCCCCAGGCTCCTGAGCACTTCGAGGGTGCTGGGCCCCCCCGGGAGGCAGTGGCATCTGTTATTGGAACTTGCTGGAGACACTCAAGCCCATGAGCTCCAACCCACACTGGTGCCTGTCATAATAGGAATCAGGGTCACTTAGAGGGAGCAGGGACAGGCAGAAGGGCAGATAAGGGACAGGGTGGCAGCAGGACCTGCCTTGTGTGCGCCCCATGCAGGTTGGGCCCCATCAGAGCCCCGGGTTGTCAGAGCAGTGGACATTGACTTAGCAGCACCTTTGTGGCAACTGCCTGGGGCCCAGGACATGGGTGGTGGACACCCCAGGCCCCACTTGTTCCTTTCCTGTGTGTTGAGGTCTGTGATCCCCTCTTCCACCTCAGGTTCCTCACCTGTTGATGGGGTGGATGACAGTTCCTCTCTCGAGGGACTGATGTGGGCTTCAGGGAAATGGTCAGTGCGAGGCCAACGCCAGGTCCATAATCTGCTTTGTGCACTCGGGCAGCCCCTCGTCCCTCCTGAGGAGGGCAGTGTTTCCCTGCATTCTCTTCAGCAGGCAGTGGCCAGGAGGCCAGCTTGACACCGCCCCTGCCCCCAGCCTGCTCAGCTCTGCAGAACCACTGCCTGTAGCCAGGCTCCGGGTCCTTAGTAGCAGGTGGAGTCCCACCTACAGGGACTTCAAGACCTAGCACTGCTGCCCCGAGGCTGTGAGCATGTGCACACACACACACAGCGGTCCCTGGACAGCCCAGGCTGGCCTCGTACACCTCTGGGGACCCAGGTGGCTGTATGGGGGGGCTTTTACTGAGGTTTTAAAATCGCAGTGTGGGCTCTTCCTGTCCACCTTCTTTGGTTCAGCGTATTTCACTTTTTTTTTTTTAATTTTTATTGTAGATGGACATAATACCTTTATTTTACTTGTTTATTTATGTGGTGCTGGGGACGGAACCCGTGGCCTCGGCCTCGTGTGTGCTAGGCAAGCGCTCTGCCACTCAGCCCCAGCCCTTACTTTTATTTTTATTGTTATTATTTTTGAGATAGGACCTCTCTACATTGCCAGGTTGGCCTGGAACTTGTCGTCTTCCTGCCTCAGCCTCCTGAGCAGCTGGGTGACAGGCGTTGCCCCATGGCGCAGCACAGCTGTAAGGCCACCTGCTTGCAGAGAGCAGCACGTTGCATCCTTCACTTCCTGCTAGAGATGTGTGGCATTTCCCTGGCTGGGCTGTGGGGGACGCAGCTGTCCTCCCTCGTCTTGTCTTGGGACCCAGGTCGTGGAGTCTGTGTGTGCTGAGGAGAAACCCTGAGGTCCGTCTGCACAGCGGTCTCCCATGTGGGGTTCCCACAGGCAGCACCACACACACCCTCTCCCACTGTTTTGAGGTGTCAGTTGTTTTAAAATTTTGAGTGCATGGGCTTAGCATGAGCAAAGCACCAAAAAATGCTATTTACTTTTTTTTTTTTTTTTTTTTTGGTCCTGGGGATTAAACTCGGGCCCTGCCTCTGAGCCATGTCCCCCACCCCCACCGTTTTAGTTTTATTCTGAGAGAGACTCGATAAGTTGCCCAGGCTGGCCTGGAACTTGTGATCCTCCTGCCTCAGCCCCAAGTCGTGGGATGACAGGCGAGGTCACCGTGCCCAGCCTCCTGGAACTTGTTTGCAGTGGCTAATTTAATCTGCTCTGGGCTTCGGCACATGCCTTTCATAATGAACAGCAGCCTATGGGCTGACTGTTCTGCAGACTGGAAATCCATGGGCAGGGCCAGCGTCGGGCAGGGGCCTCCTGTCCTTCCCTCCCTGAGGGTGCTGTGGGCCAAACACCCCTGCCGCACCCCTGCCCTGGAGGTCAAGTCTCCGCACTTGAGTCCGGGGTTCCAGGGGCAGGTCCAAGCCACAGCGCTGTTAAGGCCCCCCTCTGTGGCACCTTTCACTCCCTCCCTGCTCTGGCTGCAGCTCGCTCCTCCTGCTCAGGGGTTTGGCGGAGCTCTGTGGTGCTGGTCTGGCCCCTGAAGCTGGCCCAGGGACTCTGCTGTCTTGCAGGCTTGGGACTGCATTGGTCCTGGTGGCTCTTGTTAGTGACACATCAGGTCTACAACACCCCCTCCACGGGGCGTGGGCTCTGGACTTGGAGTCTCAGCAGGGCCTCAGGGAGTCTGGGGAGGTGTCTGTTTTCAGTGGTTGCGCCCTACGGTCCTTCAGCCTGTGTGGCCTTGGAGTCTTTCTTTGGCCCAGGGTCCCTGGGAGCTGTACTGTGTCAGGCCTGGAAGTCTCCTACCTTCTGCACGTGTGGCAAGGGCCCTCACAGGAGCCCTCAGAGAACCCCTTGGGGTCACAGGTCCACAGAGACCTCAGACGCCTGTGTACATGCCCCTCTCAAGCCCAGGCCACCTCCAAGCCCAGGCCACCTCCAAGCCCTTGGACTCTCATGCTCCCAGATATGCAGTCAGAAGGCCAGGGCAGCTGAAGGCTTCTCCAACCAAGTACAGGAAGAAAATCACCGCCGACAACTAAGAGATGTCCTCGGAGCTAGGCCGAGGCCACGCCAAGAGCGTACACTAAGCAGGCACACGGGACTGTGAGGAGGTGTTGCAGGGCACCCATTGACAGCATTGGCTGCCAGATGCAGAGGCCACACCTGTCCTCCCCGCACCTGGGAGGCTAAGGCAGATGCATCACAGGTTCCTGGCCAGCCTGGGCATCCCAGCAAGACCCTGCCCCAATATAGAAAATAAGGAAGTCTGGGGATGTGGCTCAGTGGTAGAGCACCCTGTGTTCAGTCTCCAGAACCGAGAAACAAGAATCACAGGAACCACAACCATATGATATGAAGGAAAACCACCCAGTGGAAAAAACGGGCAGAAGACCTAAACAGAGGGCACTCAGAATGGCCAGCACTCAGTGAAGGGGCAGGGTGCAGCGGCACACTCCACCTGGCCCCGCAGAGGCCAGGGCACCAGCATCCCTGGCAGCACCAGTTCTCAGGAGGGTCCCAAACTGGAAACCACGCATGCGTACCCCAAGTGGGTGAACATAGCAGAAAGCAGGTGCACACCCCGAGCCTGCGGCCTGGTGCCGCCCAGCCGTCTCTTGAGAGCCCTAGAGTTCCCCCAGGGTGGTGTGGGCCTGCAGGCCACCTCCAGTGCTCTCCTCACATTTTTGGCATGTTTGGAACTATGCTGATGGACAGCCCCATTTGTACCCAGAACTGGGGGCCAGGCCAGGGGCGGTGTGCAGTAGTGGAGAGGAGCCTGCTCACCTCAGGCAGTCGCTCACGCCCACATCCTGCAGGCTCCTACGTGCAGGCCACTGGAGACACTGGTAAGACTGAGTGGCCAGCATGGCCGAGGAACACACCAAAGCCAGGGGAGCCACTGTGACTGGCTGCAGGCACAGGGCAGAGTGTGGCCATCTGTGGTCTCGGCCACCTGGCTCTGTGCTGTCCCGCCTCATCTGGGTTCCCGTGGCTGCTGTCTCAAGCACCTAGGCCACTCAGCTACAGTGGGTGGAGGGCACCTGGAGGCCTCTCCTGCAGCAGGACCAAGGCAGGAGGAGGGCCCCAGTCCTTGACATAGCATGTGGCCTTGTGCTCAGAGCCAGGGCAGGACAGGGCTGCTGGGGGTGGCCTTCCACACTGACAAGTGTAGGTGGGCAGTGGTGTGTGTGCTGTGAGGTGAACACACCAGGGTGCTGGGGCAGCTCTGCCTGAGGGAGTCGGGTGGGAGTCTGCTCACGCAGTAGATGCCCATCTGGGGCTGGCTACTGCCTAGAGCTAGACGAAGTCACCAAGTTGGGGCCACACTGCCCTCACGGGGTTCAGGACTAGGGCAGGCTTAGTGACCACCTTCCCCTCCATCTAGCAGTGAAAGCCCAAACTGCTGCCGTGTATTTTGCCGTTTTCGGGATGGAAGCCTGAAGGGCCTCGTGTGGGGGGAGGGGCTCTGCCCCAACCAGCCTGGGGTGCTGGACAGACTTAGTGGGCTGCCTCCCTGGGGCCTCCAGTGAACAGAGACGGGGTGTGGACCAGCTTCGGAGTACGTGGGGGCTACGTGCAGGGTGGGGAGGACAGGGTCCTGCCAGGTCAGGAGGTGCTCCTGGCCCTGCTGCCCTGATGGCCTTTTGTCCCCACAGGAAAGAACCTCTATACAAATGAGTACGTGGCTATCAAACTGGTGAGTCCTTCCTTCCTATCCTCCCAGCCAGGCCCACAGGGTCCCAGAGCGCCGGGCAGGCTCGGAGGGGTAACGTCTGCGTCTTCCCCAGGAGCCCATCAAGTCCCGGGCCCCGCAGCTGCACCTGGAGTACCGGTTCTATAAACAGCTCAGCGCCGCAGGTAGGGGCAGGCCTTGGGGGGGCCGCGGGGCAGGGGCGGCCGGCGGCCAGCTGAGCACTGTCCCCTCGGCAGAGGGCATCCCTCAGGTCTACTACTTCGGCCCGTGCGGGAAGTACAACGCCATGGTGCTGGAGCTGCTGGGGCCCAGCCTGGAGGACCTGTTCGACCTGTGCGACCGCACCTTCACGCTCAAGACGGTGCTCATGATCGCCATCCAGCTGGTGCGGGGGCGGGCCGGGCGGCGGGGGGGGCGGGGCCGGGGCCCGCGCTGAGGCTCGGCCCCCGCAGATCACGCGCATGGAGTACGTGCACACCAAGAGCCTCATCTACCGGGACGTGAAGCCCGAGAACTTCCTGGTGGGGCGCCCGGGGACCAAGCGGCAGCACGTCATCCACATCATCGACTTCGGGCTGGCCAAGGAGTACATCGACCCCGAGACCAAGAAGCACATCCCGTACCGCGAGCACAAGAGCCTGACGGGCACGGCGCGCTACATGAGCATCAACACGCACCTGGGCAAGGGTGAGCTGCGCGCGCGGGCGGGGGGCGGGAGCGCGGGCCGCGCTGAGCCTGCTGTCCCCCGCAGAGCAGAGCCGCCGCGACGACCTGGAGGCGCTGGGCCACATGTTCATGTACTTCCTGCGCGGCAGCCTGCCCTGGCAGGGGCTCAAGGTAGGCGAGCGATGCGGGTCGGCGGGGTGGGGGGGAGGGGAGGGGCGTGGTCACTGACCGTGGGACCCGCAGGCCGACACGCTCAAGGAGCGGTACCAGAAGATCGGGGACACCAAGAGGGCCACACCCATCGAGGTGCTGTGCGAGAGCTTTCCAGGTGAGAGGCCCGCCCTGCCGCTCCTCCACCAGCCCCCGTCCTACCCCTGTCCCCGCCTTCTCCTTCATTCCCAGCTGTTGTCCTCTCTCCGCAGAGGAGATGGCCACGTACCTGCGCTACGTGCGGCGCCTGGACTTCTTTGAGAAGCCCGATTATGACTACCTGCGCAAGCTCTTCTCCGACCTCTTCGACCGCAGCGGCTTCGTGTTCGACTATGAGTACGACTGGGCCGGGAAGCCCCTGGTAGGTGACACTGGGCATTGGGCCAGAGAGTCCCTAGTAGGTGAGGTGGGTGGCCGGCCAGGAAGTCCCTAGTAGGTGATGCTGGGCAGTGGGCTGGGAAGCCCCCTGCAGGAGGGGGGCTTCGGCCCTTTGCGCTGGGGTACACCTGTGTGCAGGGGTAGTGGGTCAGAACCCCATCCTAGGGCGTCAGAGTCGGGCCTCCCGGGCTATCCTGACACCCGCTCCCGCAGCCAACACCCATTGGCACCGTCCACACCGACCTGCCTACCCAGCCGCAGCACCGGGACAAAGCCCAGCCACACAACAAAAACCAGGTGAGGGTGGCCCGGGGCCCCCTACATCCCAGGGAGGTGCCAGGCGTCTGGCATGACTCCCCCACTGCCCCCGCCCACCCAGGCGCTGAACTCCACCAATGGAGAGCTGAATGCAGATGACCCCACAGCCGGTCACTCCAATGCCCCAATCACAGCCCCCGCTGAGGTGGAAGTGACAGATGATACCAAGTGAGCTTTGGGGCGGATCTCGAGGGAGGGGGACACCTGGGCAGAGTGTGTGGCCTGCCAGCCTGGTACCTCCCTCCCTCCCTCCTTCGTGTCCTCCCACAGGTGCTGCTGTTTCTTCAAGAGGAGGAAGAGAAAATCTCTGCAGCGACACAAGTGACCGGGTGCCTGCAGCGCCTGCACCTACTGCGCGCAGCCTCTGGCTGAGCTTGTCCAGGAGGCCCGCGGCTCTCCACGGTGTCCGGGGCCAGAGCCCCACCGGAAGCCCAGGCAGACTGTGGGGGCCCGTGGACCGCAGGCCCCCACCCCCAGGACGTGGGGTCACTTCCTTCACTTAAGACTTCGGCCGAAATGTCTACAGCTGTGTCTAGTCCTCCCCTTCGAGAGCATTAACTATTTAAAACAAGGAAACAAGGAAAAAAGAGCAGAGGCCTGCCCTGCCCCAGCCCTTCCCGTCTCCGTGGTGATGAGTCGCGTGACCCTGGAGGCCCCCGGGCCACTCGTTAGCCTCATAAAGCCCAGCTTGTCTCCCTCGATCCAAAGCCCGTTTTCTCGAGGGGGGGCAGGCCCAGCCTGGGAGGGGCACATGGGGTCATCTTGCCAGGCCACCTAGGAGGGGGCCCAGGCGTTGCTGCCAGGGTGAGGCCACCCCCTGGGCCTCCCCCAAACCAAAGGGGAAGGTGGGGGCGGGGCTGCAGCTGAAGCCAGCCCCCAACCAAAATGCTGCACCAAAGCTCTGGCGCCAGGGCGCGGCAGCCTTTTCCAGCCCGGCCTGCACCGGGTGGGCGCACTTGCTCCCGGAGGTTGTGCCCAGGCGCCCAGGACCCCGAGGGTGTGCGGCCTCTGTCCCCACTCTGGCGCAGGGGCCGCCGGGCTCCTGCTGCCTGCCGGCTGCGGCTCCTGGTCTCCCGGCCTCCGCAGGGGCACCGCCGCGGGAGACCACGCCTTAAAGCCCCCGCCCCACACCAGGATGTGGTGGGGGCGCCTGGAGGCTGCGGGGGGTGGGCGGAGGCGCCGGGCCTCCCCAGCGGTGGTCGAGAGTAGTACTTGCTTTACAAAGTGTACAGAAATGGCATTTACGTTTCTCTGACGCTTCCTTGAAGCCATAGAATTTAGGGGCTTTTTTAAAAAATAAAAGAAAAACGAAACCACTCCTGGGTGCCGGCCTGGTATTTCCAAGGGAGGGCCAGGAGAGTTTGCAGACGGGAGCACGAAGCAGACGCGATGGGCCGCAGAACCACAAACGGGTCTCCAGGTGCACGTCGCGGGCCGGAGACCAGAAGGTCCCTGCCGGCCCGCATGTTGGGGGACGCAGCACCCGCGGCGCAGCCGACGGAGCCAGGCAGCGCCTCCCCTTGGCTACGGTGGAGCCCAGAGCCCTCTCCTCGGGCCAGAGGCGGGCGGCGGCCCTCCGCCCGCAGCAGGCTGACCCCAAAGCGGGTCCCAGCCTCCTGCCCTTCTCCGCCCGCTTCCCGCGGGTGGGGAGAGCCGGCCCCAGCCCAGGGAGGAAGCCAGACTGGAGAACGCCAGAAGAGGAGGACCTCCCTGGGCGCAGAGGAGGCGCACTGTCGTCCCAGGGTACTTCCCAGGAAGAGGACTGGAGTCTCCCCGTGGAATGGGCCTGAGGAAAGTAAGCCAGAGGACTGGGACCGTCACGGTGGTCCCCACTGTGGGAGCCTCCCTGAAAACAGACGAGTTCACCTACGGAGACGAGAACCGCCTGTCACCCTGCAGAGCCCCGCGCGCCTCAAGCTCATGGAGACCTGGGCCAACTGGGTCCCTTCCCCTCCGCGCAGAGCGGCCTCAGAGCGAGCATTCTGCTGGGAGAGCTGCGCCTCAGTCGCTGGGATGACAGGCGTGGCCAGTGCACCCCGCTCTGCTGGTGGCACTCTGAGGATGGGGACGTCAACTCCAGCCTGCGCAGGTGCAGCAGCGTTCCAGACCGAGGCTGGGATAAAGGAGGCCGGGAGGACCGGAGACCGGGGTCCAGGGGACGGGAGACGGGGGGACGGAAGACCGGAGCCGGGGGGGGGGGGGGGGGACGACGGGGGAGCTGGGGCGGAGCCAGACTCCCAGCCTGGGCGGCGGCCTTGCATACTGATGGGAAAGTGCAGGTGGAGGAGTGGTTTCCGGTTCCATTTCCCCCTTTTGTGCTGTCCCTGTCCTTCCGCGGTCCAGGCACAGGCCTCCTGGGCTGTGCCCTGCGGTCCCCGCACAGCTCCCCTTAGTGCCGCCCCCGGGGTCTCTATTCCACCTTCGCCAGCGGAACCTGGTTTCTGCTGGGAATGAATTTGGGGGTTTGCTTTGCTTCTTGGCCTTTTAGCATCTCACATGACTCCCAGCTCCTGAGAGAGGTCGCCGTCGTCCCTTTTGGCTGTGGCTCCGCTTCCCCGTGGGCTCTGTGGCTGGAGGTCTGTGCGCTGCCGCTCTGCAGCCCTTCCCTCCATTCCCCTCCTGTGCAGGGCGGCCACTTTGTACCACCTCCAGTCCTCCAGGGCTCTTTGCTGATTTTTTTTCCATGTTTTTCTCTTTTTAGTTTGGACGATTTTTTTGGACTTTTTAATCTTTTTTTTTTTTTTTCATTTTGTCTGTTTAAACCATCCAGTGGATTCTTTTCAGGTTTTATCCTTTCTCAGTGGTGGGAGGAGCCCAGGGCCTCCTGCTGCTGTCCAGCGCTCTGTCCCTGAGCTGCACCCAGCCCACTCAGAGGTGTTAGTCACAGAATACCTCTCTCCCTCTCTGCTCTGGTCTGTCCCCAACAAAACTGAGGTTAAATCCAGTGCCCAGCATGACAGGGTGAGAGGTGTTGGGGACTCAGACAAGCCACACAGGAGGAGTGGGCTCCACCCCCCAAAGTAGATCACTATCCCTAAGAGACCAGCTCAGGCTCCCTCGACGGAGCGGGGTGTCAAGGGATGCCACTGGCCACTGCAAGAGTGGCGTTGGACAGCCTTTGCCCTCTTCTGCACACACAGCCACTCTTGTACACACTCTGGCCACCCGCCATGAGGCCCAGCAGATGCCACACTGTGCCTCAGGAACTGTGAGCTGGTGCACCTCATTTCCTCCTAGCTCTCCGCCTCGGGCAGCTTGTTCCAGCAAGGCACGTGGACAGGGCAGGTTCCCCCTTCCCCCCCATCCCCCCCAGCCATGACTGTGCTGTGTCCCCAGCAGGACCACAGCGTGCAGGAGGCCAGCTCTCTTCTCTGGTGGGGAGCTGAGCTCACAGATGAGGACTGGTGGGCACTCATTGCACCTGAGCTCAGCCCTGGGCCAGGCCTGGACACTGGCCTCTCCTGGAGAGACTCAGGAGCCCGCCCAGCTCACCAGCAAGCGCTGAGCAGGAGTGTCACGTCTCCTGCAGCACCGCCAGCCCACCTGTGCCGAAGTCAGCGGTGCCCCAGGGAGAGTGGCCTCTGCTCCCCAGGAGGCCCTTTCCCCCCTGGAGCTTAGGCGTGTAGATGCCCCTCTGTCTCTTATGGGAGTATGGCTTCCTCCCTTTCTCACCTGGGGTGGGGCAGGTTTTCCAGTCCTGGGGTTGGACCCCGGGGTGCTCCACCACTGAACTGCCTCCCAGCCCTTTTCACCAGTTTTTTGAGTGTGTGTGTGTGTGTGTGTTTAGTTGTAGATGGACACAATATTTTTTTACTTATTTTTATGTGGTGCTGAGGATGGAAGCCTGTGCCCCTCACATTCCAGGCGAGCACTCTGCCGTGAGCCCAGCTGGCCCCTTGCCCCTTACACTTTGGAAGCAGACCTCTAACTCCAGCGTGGGAGGACCTGAGAGGCACAGCCCTTGGGGACATGATAGCAAGATGCTCCTCTTGTCTCAAGACTGCACTTGGACACATTGTCAGAAGTTGGGGAAAGCCGAGTGACGGGCACATGATCAGGAACTGGCTGTGGAATTTCTTCAGTCTCTCTGAATCTGACATCATTTCAAAACAAACATAAGAACCTGCAAAATGTTAATTAAGAAGAGGAAGAAGAGCAAGAAGGAAAATCTGTGGACGTGAGGACCGTGCCTGTCACCTGTAACCTGGGAGGCCGAGGCAGGAGGACACCAACTGAAAGCCAGGCCCAGCAAGTCAGGACTCTGTTTCAACATAAAAAGGGCTGGGGGTGGCTCAGCGTAGGACAGCCCTGGGCTGAGTCCCAAGGTTCCATCGAGAACTGCTAACGGTGTTTTGATTTCCTGATTTCTTGAGATGAAAGCGTAGACCATGGATTTTGAACTCTCTTCCCTTTTCTTCGCGGGTGTGTGTGTGTGTGTGTGTGTGTGTGTGTGTGTGTGTGTGGTGACCCTGGGGCCCTGTGCGGGAAGTGCCTGGCCACTGGCCCCACCCATCCTGCGTCTCTCTTCAGTGTCCAGCTCCGGGCTTCCCACACGCAGGGGCATGTTCCTCTCCGTTCTCTGCTGGGTCCAATTTTGGTTCAAGATCTTCAGTGTTGCCCGACTTCTGTATGAGTTTGTGTGTAAACCTCTGGGGACTTTCTGGACACCTTCTGGCTGCTCAGGTCACTGTCTAGGACTGCACCGGAGGTACCCCTGGCTCTGGTCGGAGCCATGTGCATCAACACGGGTCTCGCGGGTCACACCTGCTGTCCGTGCTGGGCTCAGCGCGCCTCAGTGTCCGCGGACTTGCTGGGCATGGGGGGCACCGTCAACCCTGCAGGCCACCCCGCAGCCTGGGTGGCCACAGCAGGACACAAGGTCAAGGCCAGACGGACAACTTGGCGACACCCTTCTTCACAAATAAGTAAATAAGTAAAAAGGGCTGGGGCGCAGTTCAGAGGTGGAGTGGCCCTGGGGCTCCTCCCCAGTGCGCAAGCTTGGGGCGGGGCGGGCTCACTGGAGAGCGCCTGCCTGGACGCTCCACAAATACATAAAGGAAATAAAAAATAAACACCAAAACCTAAAAATAAATAAATAAAGCTTCTTGCATTTAGTGTGATCATTGATGGAGTTGAATTAAACTCTACCATCTTCTTTTTTGACTTTTTCTTTTTTTGTAGGAGGATGGACCCAGAGGTGTTCTACAGTGTTACACCCCCAGCCCTCATTTTGAGACAGGGCCTGAGGCTGGCCTTGAACTTACAATCCTCCTGCCTCAGACTCCCAAACTTCTGGGATTACAGGCATGTGCCACCATGCCCAGCTGAAAGTTCTTTTTTTTTTTCTAAATATTATTTTTTAGGTGTAGATGGACACAACACAATGCATTTTATTTTTATGTGGTATTGAGGATCGAACCCGAGTCCCGCCCGTGCTAAGGGAGTGCTCTACCCCTGAGCCACAATCCCAGCTCCTAAAAGTTCTTAATTACTGTATTTTCCATTCTAGAATTCTGGATGTATTCCTACCGTTAAAAGTCTCCTTTTTTTTTGGTCCTGGGGATTGAACTCGCAGGCCCTCACCACTGAGCCCCCCAGCCCTACTGTGTATTCTGTTTAGAGACGGGCCTCATTGTTGCGGAGGCTGCCTTGAACTTGACCCTCCCACTGTGCCTCTTGTCCACCTCTGCCCGCCTTGAAGACACAAGTTTTCTGATGACTCCAGTTTGGGGGCACGGGGGCCTGTGTCAGGTGGTCTGCACCTTGCTGGGTCCTTGGTGGGGTGCCTCTCTGCTCACCTTTGGCTTGGTGTTCCGTGGCCTGGCAGCACCCTCCCCCCACCCTTGCCCAGGCGTGGCGTGGCTGTCCCTGCT